AGACACTTTCTATCCCTTTTTCTCTCTCTTCTTCTGGTACCCCTATAATGTGGATATTGTTCCATTTTGATTGATCACTCAGCTCTCTTAGAATTCTTTCATTCCTGGAGATCCTTTTATCTCTCTCTGCATTAGCTTCTCTGCGTTCCTGTTCTCTGTTTTCTAGTCCATTAATGTTCTCTTGCATCTCATCCATTCTGTTTTGAAGTCCTTCCAGAGCTTGTTTTATTTCTGTATTCTCCTTCCTTAGTTCTTACATATTTCTCTGCAAATCCATCAGCATGGTTATGACTTTTGTTTTGAATTCTTTTTCAGGAAGACTGGTTAAATCTATCTCCCCAGGTTCCTTCTCAGGGGAAGATGTAGCCGATGCCGAAGCTGTCTGGGTTAGTCTTGTCTGGAACATATTTTTTTGCCTTTTCATGTTGACAGGTGCTATTGACTGCCAGCTGGGAGGGCCAAACTTTTCACTTGCTACTGGCCTTTCTTTACTGGGACAACCGCGACCCCTAGTGGCTTGTGTTGGGTAATTGCACGTAGACTGAGTCTTTGTGTCTTGCCTGGCCGATATGGAGGAATTTCCCTTTCTTCGGGCGTGGTCTGCCTTAGGCTGTTTCTTTGCATTCGCAGTGCCCGGAGGGGTAATGGACCAGGGGGCTGTTTGGCTGTTTAACTCCATGAGGGGTCTCAGAGCTGTTGCCCAGGGGTTAGTGCGCCCGGTTTTCCCTGTAATTTCCAGCCACTGGGCTGTGACCTGTGTTGTATCTGTCCAGCTGTTATGTCCCTGTCCCTTTAAGACTTTCAAAAAGCACTCACTTTTCTTTGTCACAGGGGCATCAGCTTTGGAACCTGCTCAGAGGTCTTGCTGCCCTATTTCCCTAGTTTCCAGCCCTCCACGCATACACTGTGTCTGCGCTCTGGTGAGGGTGGCTGGGGCTGGGTGTTTAGCAGTCCTGGGCTCCCTCTCCCTCCCACCCAGAGCTGGGGGGAGGTGTGCTTGGGTCCGCCGGGCCAGGGGTTGTATCTTACCCCTTTCACCAGGCGCTGGGCTCTCGTGTGGATGTAGTCTGGCTGTTGTCCTGTGTCTTCTGGTCTCTCTTTTAGGATTAGTTGTATTTGCTGTATTTTCAGAAATATATGTTTTTGGAAGGAGATTCCCACTGTCCTACTCACACCACCATGTTGGCTCTGCCCCCTCCTTAATAGAGTTAATTTAACCTATTTTTTCTATGCAATATAAAAAATAATAGATATTTGATAGTTTAGTATAAAAATTTCCACAAATATTACCTAGAGGGAAGTATAGCTGGTAACAATGCTTGCTCCAGAGAAAGTGGAGCAGACACAGGCTTCTGACTTTGACTTTCTAAATATTCCTGGAGAAAAGAAATATAACACAATTATTTACTCTCATTGGCTCACCTACATAAACATATATAAAATATAATTTGATCTTCAAAAAGTGAAAAGGCAGTTTATAAAATGAGTCATGCTACAGAGCCTGAGAAATACTTTCTATATCCTTAACTATCTTTGAAACTCCAGAATGACTCAAAGAATGTTGTCAAGCATGAAATCTAAGAACTAAAGATACAAAGAACAGGATGATACTTAAGCAAAATCATTTAATAATTAAAGAAAAAAATAACTTTTCTCACATCTTCATGAAATTATTTGACATTCCCAATATTATTCTTAATGTTAATCCAGACCACAATGCTTCTTAAAGGAAATCTGACAACCTGAGGGTCACATAATCTTCATATGAACCTGACTCCCAAAGCAAATTATAACAAGACAGAGAAGCTGTGCTAAGTTTTAAAATAGGAAGTGGTAAGAATTGACAAGGCTGCTAAAAGTGGAAAGCACCTAAGGCCACAAAGCATCTAGCACAGCAGTCAGAATATTTTAAGGTAAAACCAAGAAATGGAGCAGTAGTAGGACCTCTGCTCCTTCTCCCTGGGCTCCCAACTTCCTCACCCATCATTTTCCTTCTCCTTTACTAATTCAAAAATCTTAGGAATTTAAACTGCTAGGGCCTCAAGCCATCTTCTTGAGGATGGCACTACCCTTTGGAATACATGCGTACTGGATTCCACTCAGTAGGACAGAGCATCACCCGAGACTGTCAACTTCACCAGAGTTTAGGGGTCATTATTTGGAAAGATTTCCCCTAAAGGCAATTTTAAAACATATTATAAAACACTAATATATTTTATAAACCAACATGCAAAATTCTTGAGTTTTTTTTTAAAAAGGCAATAAGTGTTGAACACTGTATCTCCCAAAGATAGACATTTACTGTCCTTTGTTAACTTTGGCATATTTTGGTGGAAAAATTTAGGAAACACCATCTTGACATAGTCCTCATTTTACGAGAAGAAACTGAGGCCCAACATCACATAAGCAGGAGGCAAAGGTGGTGGAACTAGAGCCCAGCTCTTCTGAGCAGCTACACCAAGTCTTCAGCACAGCTTCACTCTAACATTTACCTTTAAGGAAAACGGTTGTGCAAAATCCACTCTGACACACCCATAGTTTTTTCGTAACATTCTGATAACACCTCTAGCCACACTCCAAAGGCTTTCATTCTTCTTAGGTTTTCCCTAAATTCCAGTTTTGAAAGAATATCATGGTAAGAAATAAAGCTAACACATATACAAACATTCTGTTAGCTAAAGAATAAAATTTATTTTTTGTTCACAGATACTGCGGGTTCATGTTAAAAAGACAACAATAAATATAGAAGGAAAATACATATTCATTGACTGAGACCTGTCAGAAAATGTGGAGCATTCAAAGATGCTAAAAGATGTAATCATGTCTTTGGGAGAGGTAATGTGGTCAATGAAAAACAAAATATGTAACACTGATTCATTGAGTACATCATTTACATCATTTACAAAAATACAGCGGCAAACTTTTTTAAGGGTAAAAATGACACAACAGGCTGAAAACTGCTATGCAGCTCTCACATAAAAATAAGTTGTCAAAGAGGCCGCTTATTTGAGGTCTGATGATCACTGGAGTCCAAATGCTAAGATGGGGCAATTGTATGCCAAGTCCAGGCCCACAGTGACTGTTAAGCTGATTATTCACTTAATAAGCCTTTACTAAAGTAAGGCACAATGATGGCTGTATAATGGACACCGAACTCAGACATGACCTCATTAGACAGTCAGGGTGAGTAGAAGGCACATTCAAGATAGATGTATACAAGCAGCAGTCTCATAAGAGAGATACAGATAATAATTCAGGTGTATCACTTAACTTTTAAAGCCTCCAATTATCAAATGTCCTTGAGCTTCTGGCATGTTTTGAGAAGTTTGAAACAAGTACTGTGTTCAAATAAGAACAAAACTAAATTCTTCAGAAACTCTCGCAATGCTGGTAGGAATGATAAGTTGGTAAAAGCATTTGGAAAACTGTTTGGCAGTATCTACTAAAGCTGAACATATGTATACTTTATGACCCAACAATTCCACTGCTAAATACATACCCAACAAAATGCCTACATGTGGTGATCAAGGGAAATGTACAAGAATGATCACAGTCAAATACTAGAAAGCAAACTGCTTTTAAAAGGATCAACTGTGGTATATTCATATATTGGAATATTACGCAGCTATGAGAATGAACAAACCCTAAGCATATACAACAACACAGATGAATCTCACACACACCTACTTGAGCAAAGGCAACCAGACACAAAAGGACTACACACTATGTAACTCCATGTCTACAGAGTTCCCAAACAGGCAAAACTCATCTTTTTGTAAGAAGTCAAGGTAAGTGGTTGCCCTTGAAAGAGCAATGGGAGGGGAACAAGGAGGAATTCCAGGGTCCTGATAATTCTGCTCCTTGCTCTGGGTGCTGGTTACACAGATGTAACTTTGTGATAATTCCAGCTGCATGCTCATGATTGCTGAATTCTTGTGTAACTATTATACTTACTTCAGTAAAATGTTTACTAAAGAAAACTACTGTCATTTCTCAAATTAATTTACAGTTGCTTTGTGGACATGATCCCACCAGTTCTTCAGGTTTAACTTAAAAACTGCACATAAACAGGAAGCTCTGGGGAAAACAAACCACATATGACCCGCCACGGTAGAGACGGCAACTCAGTGCCAAGTGTTCTTCTATTTCTCAACAATCCCATGACCAAGGCCAGCACTGATAAATCTAAGCATGTCACTTCCTCCAAGTGCAGGGAAGCACCACCCTAGCCTCAACAATCACGCTGACATAGGAGAGGAAAGCTACTCACCATGCCCACTCTACCATGTTTCCTACAGTGCTTTAAAGTTAGGGAGTACCCAAAAAAATTGCTAATTAATTCTAAAAGCACTGATTTAAAAGCAAAAGACTTGAAAATAAAGGTCTTTGGGTAGGCAGTCCTCTTACCAGTTGCTCGCCATTGTAATGACCTTCAATAATACGATCATAGGAGATGCCAACGGGTATTATCAAGATGTCTGGGATGGTATTGGTAGACAGAGTATCTACCACAACGGACAAAAGTCCTGCCCGAGCACAGGAGGTTTTTCCACTCCTGGAACGTGTGCCTTCCAGAAAAATCTCTAAGAACTGCTGCTGTCGAAGGAGTTCAACTATATGCTGGGATGTAAGAAGAAAGTAAACCATGAACTCAAAGCCATGCAACTGAGAATAAGCTCAGCAAAGTTAAATCTTAAAAATATATATATATAACTTCACTACTGACAAAATATCTTACACAAGTAAGAGCAACACAGCTCCTCCAGGGCTATATTTTCATAACGCAAGAAAATCACGAAACCCATGTTACCCAAGCAATAGTTACTCAAATAATTTCTCCGACGACAGTCTGTCTACTAAATCTCACTCAAGTCTCTCTGTCCTTCTGTTATGATAACTACCGTAATCGCCTGAAAGGTTATCAGAGATCATACATACCCCATTGAGCAAAGCTCTGTAGAGAACATCCTTCCGTCCATCTGGCGTTTCATCTAGCCTCCGTCGTATGAAAAAGCCCCCAAGCTTATGGATCAATGTGCTATAAATTCAAGAATGCATTAATCATTTACAAAGGAAAATGTGAAAAGAATACTCAGACTCCAAGTTACTGCAGAACATCTGCCATATGGATATAAATCACAAGTGTTATGGGAGCTGCTGACAGCTGATGGTGCAAATATGGACATTTTTTCATTTTTTATGTTACTGACATGTTTCAGTCATTTACACTATTCATCAGCCTTTATTAGAATATCACTTCATATACTAAAGTTTTATTATATCTGTTCTAAACCAAAAGAGGCTTGTCTCATATATTACCCAGCAAAGATGACATTATCAATTTTAAGAGGATTGTAGAATAGACTGCTAACTTTTAAAACCCTGTCCAGGATCTCAAGACATGGACTGGTAAGTCTGCTGATGGCACATTTACTGCAAAATGAATGTCATGTTACAAAAGCTCCTCTGGAGAAATTTTCTCAAATAAGCACTGCTTAGAAAATGCCTGTTAAACAAAAGTAATTTTATCAAACTGAAACCAAGCATAAGCATCTTTCCAAAACATGAAGCAATAATGTGCTTCATGTACACATACATAGGAATAAAACAATTATTTTTGCAACCCTGTGTCTCTTTCTACAACACTGATGGATTATGATACAAAGCTAAAATATTCTAATACTTAAGTCAATCTTTCCAAACTCAGAGCCGCCTATTCTTTTCAAATAAAGTAATATAAATATTAATATATATTTTCAGTATTTTCTGTAGTCAGTATAAGTATGCAACTGTAAGCTGTTCCCAGAGTTTAATATCACTTTCTGAGAGTAAAACTGCAGAAAAGTTCATAATGAGTAAGATGAACCACCCATAAAAACAACATACCCTGAAAAGTGCTTTGTGAATGTGTAAGTGGCATGCAACAAAAGAAAGCTGCAAATAAACAGGCCAGGTAATCGACAGTCAGTCTGTCACATCTGAGAAATGATGAGCTAAGACAAGACTAGCATAGAGTACATGAAAAGAAAAGCTGGATTATGAGAAATGATCAGTGTTTAGGAAGCACTTCAAGGGATCCAAGTTGAACCTGTAGGGAATGAGTACTGAGTTATTCTGACTTCAAGAAAAGCAAACTGTTACGAGGCAAGGCTGCCCTAGAGCCCAGATGGAATAGGCCTTTGCTCTTAGTCTGTTTCTACCAGCAACTTTCTGATGACTTTCTAAGTCAGCTTCCCAGGTTCCTCCACACTGGGAAGAGGTGCCCAGGAGAAAAATCACAGATAGTCTAGTCACTGGAAAAGCATGTCTGCCCTGCAGAGTCGTATCACACTGTACTACAGCGGGCTGTTTGTCTATATTCCTCATCAGATTATGAGCTATTTGAAGGCAAAGATTAGGTATCTTGTTCACTCTTGTCTAAAGCCCAGCTGGCTAAGTATCAGCTAACTGCACAAATGAATGGCTTCTCTTCAGGGCCTCAAGAGACAGGTTTGCCAGAGCCCTGAGCTAGGGGATTAGGAAGGAGCTCCCTGAACCATGGGGCTGAGGATCAGACTTCACCGCCTGCAAAGGTAATGGCTGCCACTTTGGGAGGCCCTACCTGTACAGCCTGCCAGGCCACTCACTTCCAGTCACTCTCTAAAGCCAATTCCCACTGGTGGTCAGGTCTACTCCCTACCCAGTTCCCAGGGGGCAAACACCTGGAAGTCTTCCTCCCTTTTCTGTCCCTCTTTTGAGCCCCACATTGGGACCAGCATTTGGTCTTATACATTCAATTTACTAAATACTTTTTAAATCTGTGACCTCCTCTCCAAAAGCACTACTACACTTCTAAATTAAGCTTTATCTTTTGCCTGAACTATTCCAAGTCAGAATTGCCAGACTGACTTTTCAAAATGAAAATCTGACATGTCATTTGTCAACTAGAGGATACACTCTAAACATGGCTTACAAATTGTTTTTCTCTAGCTCTCCCTACCTGTTCAGTCACGACTTCTAGCCTGACCCTTCCCAGTGCATCCTACACTCTAATCCTACTGGGTCATCTGCCATTTCCTGACCATACCATGCACTCTCTCTGCCTTTTCACATACTATTTCCTTTGAATGGAATGTACTGCATCTCCTGAAACCTCTAAAAACACACTGTCCACGTTATATGTGTATTTGTGTTTTCCAGCTCTAATAAATTGCGAGGTCGAAGTTCACAGGTATGGCTCTTATTCCTTACCTTTACTCCACTGCAGCCACCAACCATCTTCTTACCCTACCTCCCTATTGCCAAGACTAAGACAGCAATTTGCTGTCTTGTCTGTCTTGTCTGATCGCCCTTTATCCATTTGATAAATATTGCCCATAAAGTTTAGGTAGCCACAGTTCACCAAATATCCTACATAAAACACAGAAAAACCTGGTGATTGTCTTAATACTTTTTTGTACTTTCCAAATTTTCCACAATAAACATGCATTACTTTTATAATGAAAGTGAAAAAGCCAATATCATGTTTACAATAGCATGTGGCAAAAGGTATAATGAAAAAAACAAAATTCAAAATATAATCTTTCTCACACTTTAAATTTACAAATAAGCTGATCTTACCTGAAGATGGGAATGTTGAGATTATTGCCTGAAGCGATATATGGTGCTTTGATGTTATGGCAGAAGAGAATGAAAGTGAGCAGTAGATAGTCAATATGTGATCTATGAACTGGTAGAAATATAAGCGGCAAATTCGTCTAGTAAAAGGAAAAATGCCAAATTCAAAATTCAAATGTAAACTTCACTCACACTTTGCAACTTTGTATTTGGTTAGAGTCACTGGCTAATCAGTGATTTATTGTTCAAAAACATTTTCCGGTAATGTGAGATTCTTTCAACTTAATACTGATCTAGCTAAAAACAGCCACCACAATAACAAAAAAGAATCTGGGAAGGAGAAGAGCAACTGAGAGTTCCTGTTGCCTCTGTCTTCTGAGAGGCGGCCTTCATCGTGTAAAAAGAGCATAGGTTTTGGAGTCAAGCCTAGTTTGGTTTGAAATCCTGGGCAAGCCACATATTAGCCATGACTTGGGAAAATTCCTTGAACTATCTGTGCCTTGATTTCCTCATTTATAAAACAGGGATTGTTCTACCTGACTTTCAGAGTTGTTACAAGGTAACTTACAAAAGGAATCCTGCATATTGCTGGCAGGCTCTCCCCTACCCCACTCCTCCTCCCCAGATACACAACTACTGTCTCCTGTGGGGAAATCTTCCAGGTAGCTTGGAATGCACAGCAGTAACAAGAGAGCACACCCGCACGACAGAACAGTATACAAAGGAACTCTAAAATCACTCTATAAACATGGAGAAAACACAATGAGAGTCACAGAAATTCTTGCCTCAGTTGCAGCTTTAACCATTTCAAGTTGACCCTTGTGAATCTGAATATTCCAAAAGAAGCTGTTAAACAGTTTGAGCAGCACCCATCCAGTCAGTCTAAAAGAAAATGTTAAAAAGAAAGAAACTTAAATGTATATACACACACACACAAACACGCAGATGGCATTTGTCTGCTCATGGTTATGAACCTACAGCCTCAAAGTGCTTAGTAAGTGACTGCATATGTGCGTGCGTGTATCTGAACTGAAATTAAAGAACTGACCTTACAAATATCCTACTTATAAATGCGCCCATTTATTATGGACTAAAATCTACCATTTCACTCATTAAGCAAACTTTACACTTCAGAAGCAAACGACCAAGTGAATATTTAGGTGAGCAGCCACCACACAAAACCATTCCCTTTATTTAAGGCATGCGTATGTGAAACCTGTCTCAAACTAGTCCAGAGAGACGTCAGCTGTAATACAATGACTGCTATCAGTTAACAGAGATAAGGCACCTTAAAGCTTCACACAGTGCAGCTTTCCCACGGAAGAGGAATTAAGAACATAAAGAGGAGTTGGTTTCAGCATTAGAATACGTCAAAGGTTTTTTTGGACCAAGAGCTTTGTGCTGGGAAAGGAAAAGTCCAAGGACTCAGTCCTGTTTGCTAAAAATTGGATGACTCTTGTTCAAAGCATTTTGCCTTGCCTTTTAATACCTGATCATTGCTGGTGAGACAGTGGCAACCATTTCTTGAAGGATCCTTTTTGCTTTCTTTTTCACTTTATTGATGGCCTTTAATTGCTGTTGAGCAGAACCATCAGAGTTTAATTCAGCAGCTACTTCTGCAATTGCCTCTTGTACTCTGATGTGAAAATAGAAAGATAGACAATGTAACTGGCTCTATGCTGTATTTTGTATTCAGCATTTTCCAAGTCATAGCTATAAATCTCAAAACAAAATGTACTTTCTCTTTAATATGCAGTTAACATGACAGAATAGCTCAAGTTAGATGTGTTTTCTTTGGCTTTCTATTAAATATTAAGGATATTATTTTCCTAAATTGATGAATCCCTGAGGAATCAGGAAAGCAGACTTAAGAATTAAATTCAAATTTGCTGGTAACAACTATGTGAATTTGAATGTTCCCATTATGCTATGAAAGACACAAAGTTGCACTCTAGCAGAAGGGAGAAAAAGGAAGATTATCCCTTTAGGCATGTAATTCAGAGGCATAGAAAGCCTACTGTCAAAGTAATGTTTGATTTTTCATTTGAAGACCTAATTTATTAGTCATCTATACTGTGACTCTATCAGTAGAACTGTTACATAAGACTCTAAAGGAGGGATCAATGAGGGACATAAATATTTACAAGTATTTTCCAAATAAAACCAGTTATTTAAAAAAAGGCACAGCTCAAGATTAAAATAGCAGAGAGCAATGAACAGCAAAGTAAGAGAAGATTTCATCTGGTTTTGTATATATTCCATGTGACTTAGAGTAAGACCGCATGAGGTTGAACCTTCTTAAATCATTTCTAATATCCTAATTACTAGTCGAAATATCTCAATGGAATAAAATAAACTTGAAGGTGTTTACCTAGAAAATAGATTTATAATAATCCAAGGGAGTTTCAAATAGTTGTGTTTTCTCCCGCTGTTGCTAATGATTTAGACTAGTGTGCAGCAAAAGTGCACATTAGCCCCATAATTAATTAATACACAAAGGCCAATCCTATATGACACTGATGTGCCCTAAGTCTATTCCTTAAATAGAACTTATTTCAACCTGGCTAGGAATGTTCTCACAAGCACTTGACATGATTATTATGTCTTCACTATCACTCATATTCACTCAATAAGTGTTTATTATGTTCCCGCATAGTTTAGGCCTCAACAACCACACTATAGTTCACCCTGATCTCTGCCTCCCCATCCAGGCAGATGTCTACCATGGGCCACACCAAGGAGGTGGAACAGAGACCAATCTTCACCCAAACTCCTATATTCTAATGCCTAACCTTGAGAATAATTTATTTCCCCACTCCACCTGAGTTCACGTCAGTCTCTCCCATTTCTAAGCAAGCTCCTCTGAGAGCAAGGACAGTCATTCTCTTAAAATTTCTATGATGACTTTTTGGTACAAGAATTTGTGCCCAGTTACTCAGTAACTGACAGAATTATCAAACTCACTTGTCTTTTGGCTACAAAATGGGACATATATGTCCTAACCATTCATAGTACAGAAAACTTAACAGAGAACTCTGGAAATACGTACATCTCTGAACTCCAATTTGCCTTTCCTGTATCAGAATCCCATTCAATTGTTAATGCATAAAATAAGACTGCCATCCCCACCTGCCACCACTCACCAAAACCACCTGCTCTCCTGCCTTGCCTTGGTTTCCTCTGGAGTTTAACATTTATCATCTGGAAATGCCAACAGCTCTTGAGATGGATTCCCAGAGAAACTAAAGGTTCATAAAGGAAATTACTTCCCCCCTCCCCCACTCCCCATCCCTGCCTCTCTCTTTTGCAACAGTGTCCCCACCCTCACCTACTGCTGTTCAGTACATTTTCAGTCAGATTGGTGGCAAACATGCCTTTATGGACATCTCGCTCTTGAACAAAAAGCACGTAAGAAAGACGTCTCGCAAGCCATCCGCGGTGCCTGCAACGTAAAAATGATTTAGCAGAGCAGTGCTCTAGGAACACTTAAAACAAGTTGGTTAAATTATACAGTGGTTTCCCTTCTATAAAAACAAAGCCTCATTTCATTTCCTGAGATTTGGAGTTCTGCTATGCTATAGCAAATTCTCCCCAGTTTAGCATGTTATGCAGACAATTTCATTCGAATTCCTTTCATGTACTTTCACCCAATTTCTTAATGTGAGTAGATGTCTTACCTTTGTGTATTAATGCTTGAACAGTGTTATTTTGCCAAATAGTAACCCGAATATAAAAGCAAAAGAAAAAAATCTTACTTTATTAATACCATTTTAAAAAGCAAATATATTGAATGCTATATATATAAGCTATATAGCTTGCAGTTATAGCTATGGGCTATAAAAAGATAATTTGGAAGTCCTTTCCCACTGTGAAAGGCTATTTTCTTTTTTATTATTGTAATTCTTCTAAGTAATCACCAGCTCTTGAATTGACATGACTGATCAGCTGGGAGAAGTCAAGGATAATGGGAATATGGTCTGAATATTTTTATTCTGGGCTCATGAAGCCAGGAGTTCTTACTTTTCTTTTTTTAATACATATTCAACACATCCAAGGGATAGGATATAGTCCTGTGTCAGTGACTATGGGCTATTTGGATGGGGGGTCAGGACAGGGATCCCATAATAAGAATAGCACAAACCTTCATTATGCAATGATTTGAAAACATTTGTAATAATTACATAATGCCTCATTATTATTCCCCCCATAATGACATTCATATGGACAGAAGACTTCCGGTATAAATTCATTAACTGAGAAGCTCTCAACTGAGGAAGAACTGTTTACTAATCACTTGTTCCTTCCTGTCTCCTTCCTGATACTCTGTTTTTCTACCTCCTTTCCTTTGTCTCAGTTCTCTACAAACTTAGCCCAAAATGTTATGTGTAATTCTAAATTCTCCCAAATGAACATTTTCAGAATTATTATTGGAATGTAAGAAGTCCATCCTGTCTATTGAAATCCCTTCATGTGTGTGTGTGTGTGCGCGTGTAAAAATGTTTAGGATTTGCTTCACGAAACTAAACTAGGATTTGCTTCATTACTAAATACCCAACTCAACTGCACAGGCAATTTATTATATTGAATGGTTTCCTACTGCCTAGGCAAGACAGCAAATGCTTTCTTTTTTAACTGCCTCCAATTAAGGGCAACAAATGAACCCTTTGGCTTTATGCCTGAGACATTTACTTATATTTAGAAGAGACTCTATGAGATCCCTTTTCTTAGGATCTTAATCATGTCAACCAAAGGAAGAAGGAAAAAAATAATCAGTGGACCTGAATTTCTCCTTTCTCCTTTAAATTTAAGAGAGAAAGAGATAGAGAAGGATACCAAGGGAATGGGAAAAAATAAGTCCCTTGACTTCAGTTCTCTTTTAAAAAAAAAGTTAACTAAAGCATATAAAATGTATATAGTTATTATTTTTATTTATGATCTCATCATCAAAATTGGAGAAGTATCATCAGAAGGGCTTCAATTTAAATATTTGACTTCTTGGATCAATTTTTCATGGAATTTCAAGTGTTTCTCACCACCACCTGAGTCGTCTACTTTCCTAGTCCAGGCATTACCTCTTAGAATTGTAAAGACTGGTAGGATGTTCTGCTGCTGTTTCCCTCTTGCATCACAGACATTCACCCCTCCTTCTTAATCCCCTCCCTTACTTTCAAGCTTAGATTCACATAAAACAAAGCTTCTTTTCTCTTACTCTGGTGCTTAAAAGCCTATCCCCATACATCAGAAATTTGGAAGAATTCTAAGAAAAATTTTAAGTTAATAATAAATCAAAGGACATTTGCTCAATAGAGGAAAATGTCTTTTAAAACTATGGATTATGCTGATTTCAATCAGCTATACTTTTTTTGTTAAGTATAAAATAATCATAATAGAGCATAAGACGTTCAAATCTACATCTCTCCTGAGACAAATCCTTACATTTTGGTGTAAGGTGCAAAATCAATATATGAGTAAGAAAGAGCTATAACTGATAGTACACTCATGAAGATATTTATTACAACATATTTATTACAACAAAACATAACTACAGCAGTGGTAATAGCATAGATGTCTATTCAGGTGGCTATACTACCTCTAATTTTTAGATAAAGCCTCTTGTGTCAGAAGCTCATATTCTATTAATTCTCAAAAACCATTTAGATTTAGATTAACCAAAAAGAGATTAATCTAAAAGTTTAACTGATTATTATGATATCTTTTTTTTGAAATGTATGAGAAATATAAGACACTTCTTTTTTACCTTGTGTGAGTTTCATTGATATAAATAACATTCCGCAAACCCAAAGACGGAATACTGGAGTTGAAAAACTTATCCTACATAAAACAAAATAAACATAGACATAACTATACAACCGGATAGCTGATGAAGAACTCACATTACTTACTTCTTGATGACTTTTCTAATTTAAGCAAAAAGTTAGGCATTACTTTAAAAAAATGAAAAATCATATTTTATTGAAAAGTATTTGTTTGGCTTCAAAGTCACAAATTCAAAATTAATCCTTAACACCTTGCAAGGAAATAGTGCCTTCCTTTCCCGTTTCACTCCTTACCTCCAACCCAAAAGAGCTGAAGCTTACAATAGCTTAAGACACTGACAAGAATATAGATTTCAGTGCTCCCAAAATACAAAAATACCTTGCTAAATCCACGTTAGATTACTAAATCTCTCAGTAACCCTGACACACAAGAATTGTTATCCTTATTTTATAGACAGGAAAACTGAAGCTGATAGAGGTTTAATATTCAATTCTACACTTTGGTCCAAAGAGTATAGTCTTTCTGTTCCCCTAAAATGACTATCCACTTAACAAGAAAATGTATGGCTAAAGGTCACCTTCTTTACAGAAAATCTAAAAAGACAATCCAGTAATAGCTCTGCTGAAAAGAGAAAGTCTATTGTTTTATCAATGTGGGCAAAAAGGTAAACTTTTCGCAAAAAAATTTGAGATTTTTTTTTTTAAACTAAACATATGATCTTTTACTATTGGAGCCAAATATACATTGATGTCACATTGTACAAGTTGCAAAGCACTTTTACATTTGCTCTGGAAAGGATTTTACTACGTCCTCACAGCAACACAGAGATGAGCACAGGACAGTTACTGCTGCCATGTTAAAGATGAGTGCCAGGAAACCATACGAGTAGATTCCCTGGATCAGATCCTGACTCTGCTTCCTGCTGGCGTGTGCTTTTTGGCAGGTCAAGTAATATTCATGTCCCTTGGCCCTCTTCTCTGTAAAATGGGAATAAGAATAGTGACACCACTTTGCAGGGTTGTTGTGTAGGTGAATGAGTCAACAGCACCCAGCCCGCAGTACTTACTAAGCGGGGGTGAGAACCTTTGCAGAGAGTTGTTTATTATGTCGATAAAAAATTTGAGATTTTTATACCTCAATAAAAGATAGAAAATATTTAAGTGAAGCCTCTTTAGAGAAAATGAAAATAGAATTTCAAAGAAAAGATAGGAAATATCAAAAAATTACTGTGAAAATACTATCAAATAAAAATTAAGTAAACATGCCATGGAAGAATTTTAAGATTATGTTCAGCTCCACCAGGTACTATATTCAGCCAGAAATAATGATCTGTTATACCACTCACCCTAACTCATCATCACTACCATGAAATAATTTTCTATACTGTTTTCTGGCTTAAGAATGCATTAGAGTTGATGTATTGTTTTGATCTTTTAAGCATGCAAACTTAAATGAGATGAAATGCCAGTTCTAAAAAGAAAAGCCATGTGCTATTTAAATTTTTATTTCTACTGGCCTATCAATCTGAACTGGCCTTCCTCCTAGACTAGAAATTTCATGATCCTTCAATTTTACCAAATTTGCAACAAGGCACTTGTGATTTAGAAAGAACAATACTGATATTAAAACACTTTTGAGCAGACCTGAATTTTTAACATAAACTGCTTGGGTCCTACATAAATCTCTCCCTTGTTGGTAAATCTCTTTATAACAGACTCAGAATTCTGCCTCCTGACAAGCTAGCCCTGAGTAGAAAATTCACACAGCACAGTTGGCTATTCACACGGGTTATAGGCAGCCTCTATAAATAACAGGCACTTAAATGGCAGAATTTCTGTCTTGATAACTGGCCCATCCCAGAGAGTGCTTAACGTCCAGGTATACCTTTTAACTGTACCTCTACTGCCTTAGAATACAGCTACATTAGAGTCTACATTCCTGTGCTAACTCATCCCTCTGGCAAAACACCAGAAGCTCTCCTCTCCTCAAATCCTACCCTGTAATGTGCAAGATTTGCATAGCTTGTGTTTTTTCATCCAAATACTTATACACATTCTTTCTTCAATCTTCATCCTAACATTTCAGTGACCATTCTTTACTATCACAGTCAACAGACATGCTTCCCCCTGCTCCCACCCACCCAGGAAAAGAAACTTAGCAAAAGGGAGAGTAGGACAATAAAGCCACAGCTTTAACTTCTTGGAGGGATTTGCTCTCTCCCATCTCGCTCGGGTTTTCACATTGAGTGCCACAGAACAACATCTAGAAGTTACATGAAGGTTCCCACCAACTCTTCAGAAAAGCTATATGAAAGTAAGATGTCCTCTCACCCTCAAGTCATACAAAATCTAAAAGAGAAGGAAACTATTTCCTAGCATCAACTATTAGACCAATGTTTACTGAATAAATGAGTGAAAGAAAAATTGAGTCAACATCTTTACTTGGAATATCTGGGTTATAAACATGGGCCTAAATTCTAAACATGACTTTAGTTCATCAAGACTATATTCACACAAAGTTGGAAATCTGTGTCCCATATTTCACTGCTGATTAAGGGTCAAGCAGTTAACACTCCTACCCAGCTCTGGGGAGTACAGGAATAACAACATCTTCCAACAAATGGTCTTTTCCGGCTTATGAGGCTTTCTTTCCATTTTAAGGTTGCCGATCTGAAGACAGTAGGTCTGAATCCACACTCACCCTGATAAACATGAAGGAAACAATATCTGAATGAAAGAGAATTACACTTGTCCACTTGGTATCTAAAACTAATATATTTCAGATACAAGAGAAACCTATGACCTGTTTTTCTTTTTGTAGGATAGGTATGTGTTTCTCAGAGTGATTTCCATTCAAGGTACTCCCTCAATGACCAACAACTGGAACAAAGCTTGGATGTCAGCAAAAGTTGAGCACCTGAGAAAAGGAATAGCTCCCAACCCTGTTGCACACTCCAAACATTCAAAGGTTGCAAACCTAACTTCTAAAAGGGCAAACAGCCTTCTGACAGCAGGATGAATAAACTCAGACTCCTGGATCCCCATGCTCCCGGATAATCTTTCTCCCTCTTAAATCACCCATTCCCACAAAAGAACTACAAAGGATTTACATAGGAAGTGGTTATAATACAGCTTAAAATATTATTCTTTAAATGAAAAACATGGTAAATATATATAACATTCCTTTATTCTAATATGAGTTTAAAGGCTAGAATTTAAATTATAGTTGTACTGTCCAATTAGAGTCAAACTCTGTTCTTCTGATTTTTCTCCTAACTTTGAGTTCAATAAGCAAAAACAAACAAAAAAACCCCTCCAACATTATTCTTTAGAGAATGTTCAAGAAATATTAAAACATGCCAGGTTATGTTGAAATAGGGAAAACAATACAAGAAAGTTCATGCCCTTCGATTGGAACTCATGCTAAAATTTCCTATTTTTAATTTTCTAAATAAACTTTATTTCCATTACAAAATTTATACTTATGAATATAACTGCAGAAAACAGATACAGAAAAAAATAAATCTCTTTATAATTACACCACCCCCAAACAACTACTAGGTTTTTTTAATATGCAAGTGTTTTATTAACATTACCACTGTAATTTCCTACCCAATTTTTTTTCAATTAACATAATACCATAAGATTTTTAAATATTAGACTTTTTAAACCTACCTACTAACAGCTGAAGTAGTTTCTGTAGCTATTAACCTCTATTTAATATTATGTGGCTTCAAGCACTTCACGTTGACCAACATCTTTAGGTTGAATGCTTTTCCCTTATTTTAAACTTACCCATTCCTCACTTGCATGCTTGCATCGACCAACATTGTATTCTGATGAATTTGGCAGGTAAGAAAGATCTATTGTGCCAAGGGTCAGTGCAGATTCATCCATGTCACAAAGAGTAAGTCCCAAATCATGTGCTATAAAAAATAAATGCCATTTAAGTTCATGAAAAACCTGGAGACCAAATACCAAAACTCAAAATTCTGACTTCTACATTATTTTACTCTTTAATGAGATGGTAAATGAACTGCTGGTGGACTTCCACCATGTTAACTCAAAGTGTAAAAATGGACTTTGGTATGTTGATATGAACTCAGACCGTTCTGATAAAAAAAAAAGAAAATCAACATTTGTATCTTCAAAATTCCTGAGCAAAACAGCTATGAAGTTATAAGGGTAAATAATAGCTTATTTTAGGTTCATGACAAAGAATTATTTCATTTGTGTTAATAATTGAATTGTTTCTGGGAGGATGAAGGCATCTGTTTATTAAATGTAAGTTACATGCATACACAGTAGATAACTTTTTAAATTATGTGCACAGAATTCTCGGTCATACATACTGTGCTATGAAAACAGGTAAGCACAATGTGGGCATTTCTAAAGTTTCCCATTAAAGTGAATTAAGCTCTTAATCTTGTGATGCTGAAAATGAACTGATATTTGCACTTCTAATACATCTACAAAGCTCTAAAACAAAATCACACTATTTTGAAATATCTAAGCTCTCATCCTTTTCAATAAGCCTTTTCTGACCCTAAGGGGAAAATGTTCGCTAACAGTGAACTGCCAAAATAGAAATTAACCTAAAACATAAAACTTTTCTAACATAAGTCTCAAATTATTTTAGCTTGTATGTATCTCTCACCTGGCTTTATTTATTCCTTTAAAATTCTGAAAGGTCACATCCAAGTTAACAGTGTTCCCTGGAGGGCATATTCTTGATTTCTTTACATCCCCATCAGGGTTTGTTGTGCTGTTATCCTCAGCAAAACTATGTGTATCCTCAACAATTTCACATACGAAACAATCTAACAATAATAGGCCAGGGGAGAGGACAGTAAAGCAATGCACCTGGCATGAAAGCCCTTTGGTATTGTACAACTGAGATATCAGTTTCAGGTGCAGAATATAGCCACAACAGGGGGAGCTGGTTATGAGAAAAGTAAGCCGTGTCTGGCCCCAGGGCTGTGGGATGAGGGGAGGAGGAGGGAAGGAGGGAGAAAAAGTCTTGTGCCAATAGGAAGTCCAAGCCTCCATCATCCCTCCCTACAGCGTTTATACAAGGTTGAGAAGTTAAAAAAAAAAAAAATCCTGGAGACGCAAGGCTGTCAGCTGAGGGGAGCCAACTGTGGGTTTTGAAAGGGACAGGCAAAAGGTCACCTCTGAAGCCAAACACCCGAGTTCAAATCCCTCACTGCTTACCATCCGCGTGACTTTGGACAAGTTGGTTAACTTCTATGCTTTGGTTTCCCCATCTGAAAAATGTGCATAATATGATCGGTCTTACCTCCTGGGTTGCTGGGAAGACTGAATAATACAGATAAAGCGCTAGCACAGTGTCGGACACATAGTGAGCGCTCGGTCAAACCAATGGTCATCTGTCATTGGCTAGTTCCCAGCACCAGCGGCTCGCAGGGCACCCCTCCTGCCTTAACGCAAAAGCAACGCCATGTCCCTTTCAGGTGCGTAGGGTACTGGGTCCACAGGCAGGATCCCTGCTCCCCACGGGAACCCAGGCCACAGCCAGGTGTCCGGGGAGAAAGCAAACCCGACCGCCACGGGGCAGGGGGGACATGGACCGCCAGGCAACTTGCAGGGCACACCCGGGTCCAGCGGAGAAGAAGGACGACGCACCTGTCCGGGCCCGGCCGCCTCCCGCAGCCCGCGGCCGCCCTGTCGGTTCGCACCGGGCCGCTCCGCCGGCTGCAGCTGCCGCAGGAGCCTGCGCTCCGAGGCTCCGCCGGCGCCTGCTGCAAGGTCGCGCCCGGATGACGCAACCGGCGCGGGGGAGTGAGGACAGCAGCCGCGAGTCCGCCCGCCGCGGGCGCGGGTGTGCGCGGCCCGTGGCATTGCGCACCGCGTGGGGGTCCGAGAGCGGAATGAGAGTGTGGCTCGTATGGTATGTGAGTGCCCAAAAGAACCATCCTTCTGCCTCGGCGCAGTCATGTGGATGAGTGTGTGTGTGTGTGTGTGTGTGTGTGTGTGTGTACACCCACGTGTACCTAAGTCTGCACTGTGTGAACGCTGCTCATCTGGGTATTTTTATCTCCGCCGGCCTCTTGGGAGTGTGCACTTGGCCTGCCTGGGTTTACTACACATGTGTGGTCTTAGGAGATTTGTAAAAGCGCAGAATGAACCGGGGAGACGGAGGGGGAGACTGGGGAGGCCGTGTTGTGTAATTTCCTATCAGTGGCTGAGTGCCTTTTCCTTAAAGGAAGAAAATGACGAGTTAAAAGAGAGACAAATAAGACTTCAAAGAGCCTGAGTCCAAATTTGCCTATCTTTAGCCTAAACTCAAACAAAATAAAATGGGGCACAAAGAAGTTCTTTCACAGTATTTGTCATGCCATTGACAAGGCCAGTGGTTATCAAAAGCATTAGCAGTTTAGAAGGAAGAAGATTAACTTTTACATACATTCAAGCATTAAGTATGCACTAGCTGCTGGGAACACAGAAATGATTAAAACATAACCCCTCTCCTCACACCTCTGCTACCAGTCCCCATCTCCTCTGCACACACTAGCCCTAAACCTTTCTTCAAAACAAATCCTTGCCCATGTCCACCCATCAAAAGCTATCCAGAGTTCTCTACAGCCCACATGGCTGAGCCAGGCATATACAGCTTCCACAGATAGGCATGTACTTTCCCCCCTATTCTCCAGCACGAACCGCTTATTTCAACCTCTGATGGTCCCCTGTCAAGGCATGGGTTCTCAGTTGTGCTACCACCACTTACCCCTAAATTTTATAGTTCTTTCCTGAACTAGGTCTCCAAGCCTCCCCTATTCTCTCCAGCCCTCAATAATTGCACCTTCCTGTGAAATCTCACAGATTTACTGTGGTACAAAGAAGTACCTTGGGTCTTTATCAGTTTGTGTCATTCTATGAAACTCATCGTCAATGCCAGTACTTGCCTCTGTCTCTTGGGTAACACTACAACACTTTGTGGTAGTAAACACTCAAGAGATACTTGTTGTAGCTGAGGAACAAGAAGAAAAAAAGAATTCCTTCTCTTGAATATTCTACTTCTATTTGTAAATCCATCCCAAAATGCACGAGAGAGGGAAAAACAAGAAAGTCTCAGCGATTGAAGTCACTGTTAAAGAGAAAGTAATGAGAAATGAAGTAAGAGAGTATCACAGGAATTAACACATAAGCCAGAGAGAAACATTAAATTGTCATACATCAGTGTCATTGGTAGGCAACACTTATGTAACACCCATTGCATATGTGTTTATTGTATTTTCAGGAGATAATATAATGCAAGGTGGCTTGCATTACCTACTGAGAATTGTTTTGGAAATTGGTGACACCCTTGCCAATCTGTTTTATCAACAGAACCACAATTATTTACAGTAATCCAGTCTAGCCAGTCGAGATGGAGCAACAAAGGCTGAATTTACTCTCTAATGAAAACAACACACGTACATCCATAAAACAGGCAGCAATGCAGGGCCGTGGTCCATAAGGAGAGGAAATAAATGAGGCAAGAACTATGATTGCCTCAGCTTACTGCTAGAGAAAGTTGCCAAGCTGCAGTGCAGAGATGGGAATCCACAAAGACCTAGATAGACTCTCTGAGTTGAGGAGATAGAATTGGGAAGACCAGGAAAGCCAAAGCAACCGGAGCTGGGAGGAGAGTATCAGAGAGGAGAGGGCTCTGCAGAGAAAGGGGGAGTTCTGGAGACCTACAGAAAGTCTTGCTTTAGTCTTTAGCTGATCGGCTCATGAGCACATGAGTGGGAGGAAGTTACCCAAGGCCAGGGAAAGAATCACCTACCCAGAGAGAAAGAACAAGCTTGTATAGAACAGGGACTGTTCCTTTTACCACAAGCCAAAAAGAGAGAGAGAAAACAAGCTTGTATAGAACAGGGGCTGTTCCTTTTACCACAAGCCAAAGTGGAAAGGTTCCCAGTGTGTAAGACCAGGCACAGGGTCTGATCTTGGCACCCAGACTGGAAACCTCATAATTCATGGCTAAAAGGTCTTGCCTCAGTCGTGAGGTAGAATTAACACTGAAGTAAATGCTGCCCTGATCCTAACAAACCTTAAAAGCCAGCCCCAAAAGGATCAAACTGTTTTCAAGAACAAAGTGTTCCAAAACAAAGCACACCGATACTCATATGAAATCAAAAATTGCCAACATACAACAAAGTAAAATTAACAATGTCTATCATCCAATAAAAAAAGATGCAGGAAAGAATGACCCAGATGAGAGAAAAAAAAATCAATTGAAAGAGTCACAGAAGTGACAGAGATGACAGAATCAGCAAACAAGAACATTAAAACACAATTGTAACTATATTTTATATGTCCAAGGAAGAAGAGACAGGGAAAATCTATTAAGAGACCCAAACCAAGCATCTAAGAGATTATAAGAACATTGAGATGTTTGACATACACACACTCCAGTTGTATGGGACTAACTGCAGATTAAACATTACTGAAAAACAGACTAAAGGACCTGAAAACATTGCAGTAGAAACTATCAAAGTGAAGTACAGAGGGAATAAAAGGACTGAAAAAAAATGAACGGAGTATCAGTGAGCTTAATATACATGCAGTTGAGGTTCCTAAAGGAAAGGAGAAACATGGGAGTGAGGAGCAGTAAGGGAGGACAGAACAAAATCTGAAGAAACAGAGGCTAAAAACTTCCCAAATTTGTAAAAACTATATACTCACAAATCCAAGAAGCTCAACAAACTCCAAGTATAAATATGAAGAAACTAGACAAAGGAACATCACAAGCTGTTTAAAATTAGTGATAAAATGAAAAGTTTAAAAATAGGGCAAAAAGACATTTCTGTGTAGAGGAACAAAGAATGACAGCAGACTTCTCATTAGAAATTTGCAAACAAGAAGACAGCAAAGCAGCATCTTCAAAGGAAAAACTGTCAATCTAGAATTCTTTCCCCAAATACATATATTTCAAAATAAAGACGTGTTCTGATACAAAACTGAAAGGATTCATAACCAGCAGACACTTACTACAAGAAATGTTAAAGTCCTTCAGGTAGAAAGAAAATATAACCAAAGGGAAACCTGAATCTACAAAAGAAATTGAGAGCTCAAGAAATCATAATATGTAAGTAAATAACTTTTTTCTTCTTTTTAAAACTCTGTAAAAAAGTAATTGCCTAAGGTACAAATAAGAACAGTGTTTTGTGGGGTTTATAGCATATGTAGAAATAAAATGTACAACAGCAGCACAGCTTCCAGAGAGGGGGAAGTATCCTGTTGTAATATTCTTATAGAAAGCAAAAAGTAGCCTAGCACAATTAAAGGGAAACTGGTAAGTTAGAGATGTATACTCTAACTCCGAAAGGCGCTACTATGAAAACAAAAAAGAGTTATATTTAATATATCAATGAAGAAAATAAAGTAGAATCATGAAAAAAAAAAACACCCAGTGAATCCAAAAGAAGGCAGTAAAGAGGGAAAAAGAAAGACTGGAGAATAGATAAAAAGAAAGTGTATAGCAAGCCAGTGGATTTCAATCCAAAGCATATAAGTAATCACCCCCACTTAAAAGAAAAAGATTGTCAGATTGGAGAAAAAACAAGAACCAGTTATATGCCACATATATTTTTAAAAACACTTTAAATATAAAGCCAAATAAAAGACAAAGATTGAAAAACCATGTACCATGCTAAAGCTAATCAACAGAAATATAGGTGGTTATATTAATATCACTGTACATTTCAATATAATTAATATTACCAGAAATAAAGAAAAGCCATTTCATAATGATAAAGGAGTCAATCTATCAAGAGGAAAAACAATTCTAAGCTTTGGTGCATTTAATATAGAATATACAAATCAAAAATTGACAAAATTGTAAGGAGAAATTGCAAAATCCACAATTACAAACAGTAGTTTCAATCCCACCTCTCAATAACTGACACAGCAAGTAGGCAGAAAACCAATAAAGAAACACAAGGCTTGTACAATATTATCAACCAACTTGCCCTAGCTGACATTTGTAGAACACTACACCCAACAATGGGAGAATATGATTCCTTTCAAGTGTACACAGAACATTTACCAAGACAAACTATATTATGAGCCATAAACAAGTCTTAACAGATTTATAAGAATTCAAGTCATAAACAACATATACTCTAATCACAATGAAAATTAAAGATCAGTAACTTAAAGATATCTGGAAAATCCCCCCAAATTTGGAAACTAACATGCTTCTAAAAAAAAACAACTGTGGTTTAAAGGAGAAATAAGAATGGAAATTAGAAAGTACTTTGAATTAAATGATGTTGAAAACACATGTCATAATTTGAGGGATGTAACTAAAGCAGTACTTACTGAGAAACTGGGAGCAGTAAAACACCTCACCTATATTAGAAAATTAAAAAAAAGGTCCCAAATCATTCATCTCAGTTTCAACGTTAACGAAAAGCAAATTAAACCCAAAGTAAGCAAAACAAAAACAAGAAATAATAAAGGGAAAAAATCAATGAGATAGAAAACAAAAGTAATAGAGAAAATCATTACAAGAAGGAGTTGGTTCTTTGAGAAGATCAATACAATTGATAAGCCTCTAGCCACCATTATAAGGAAAAGTTAGAGAGAAGACATACCTTATCAATATCAGGGATGAGAAAAGTAACCTCACTACAAGGTCTGTATAGTCATCCAGCCTTCTACTGCCCAAACTAGTGCCTTGGTTTTCAGGGTGATATTTCAAGATGTTAGGCCCTGCCTTCATAAGGGGTGTCTGATTAGATACCATAAGAAGCTGGTCCCACCAGTTATACCAACAAATAAGCTT